AATGGAGTTGAACACCACCTCTTTGTGTCATAGGCCAGACTCAGAACTGACACCTTCATGGACTTCTGGGTTACTGCCCTGTCTTGTTCCTCTTTGAAATTCTTCATCTCGGTCAGCAGTTCTCAACCTGTGGGTCGCGACCCCTTTGGGAGTCGAACGACCCTTTCTCAGGGGTCGCCTAAGACCATCGGGAAACACATATATAATCACATATTGTTTTTGTGATGAATCACTATGCTTTCATGATGTTCAATTTGTAACAATGAAATTGGGGGTCACCACAGCATGAGGAACTGTATGAAAGGGTCGCGGCATTAGGAAGGTTGAGAACCACTGGTCTAGATTCACGTGTCGTCCTCTCCCCCATGTCACCTCTCTCGCAGATGACAACGTTGTGTGTTTCACCCGGCACGAGCCCATAGGTGTGTGTGGGGCCATCACTCCTGTAAGTACAGGGTTTCCCCTGCTGCTCCCATAGGCCCGTTAGAACGAAGGGTTTTGGGGCTTTTTTTGTTGTTTTTTTTAATATATTTCTATTGATTTCAGAGAGGAAGGGAGAGGGAGAGATGATAGAAACATCAGTGATGAGAGAGAATCACTGGTTGGCTGCCTCCTGCACGTCCCATACTGGGGATCGAGCCCACAACTCCTGCAGGACTTCTCAGAGCCTTTAAGGTGCTGATGTCATTGTACATAAACCTCCGAGGGGAGGAGGCAGTGCTCGCACCGTGGAATCCCTTCTACCAAAGAGTAACTGTCAGCCTCCCCCAGAGTGCATGTAGGAAGCACCAGGCTGGAATGCAATTCTGATCATTGCAAACTCCTATGTTACCCGTTAAGCCCCAAAGCAAGTGTCCTCCATGGAGCAGGGTAGCGGTGGGTCCGGGTCCCCCAAGTTCCCCTGTTCTCTGTTGCAGTGGAACTTCCCTCTGCTGATGCTGGTATGGAAGTTGGCGCCGGCTCTGTGCTGTGGCAACACCATCGTCGTGAAGCCGGCCGAACAGACGCCCCTCACCGCCCTCTACCTTGGCTCCCTGATCAAAGAGGTGAGCCGTCCAAAAGGAAAAGATTATGTGTTCTCGGTCACATGCCCGCTCCCAGGGAGCAGGCCGCCAGCGCGAGATAAAGCTGCCCGGCCGAGCTGGGCCGTGTGTGACAGCAGAGCCGGCTCGACCGCGAGTGGGAGGGGGGTGACGCCTGTTTTACTTGGCAAGAGCCCGTTCGTTCTCTCTCCTGCCAGTGGTCACTGACCAGTGAGAAGCAATTCCGCTCCTCCCACTGATTTGCTAGGAGCAATTCCGCTCCTCCCACTGAGCTGCTAGGAGCAATTCCACTCCTCCCACTGACCCACATGAGAAGATGTACCTGGCATGGTGGGCTCAAGCCTACTTTAGGAGCAAGTGTTTTCTCTAAAGAATTTGCAGGAGGATCACCTGAGAGGGAACTGAATAGTCAGAGGGCCTGGCATTTTGGGGGGGTCATCTGGGCAGCCCCCCTAAGTAGCTGTCACCCAGCCAGGCTCCCCCGCGATCATTCGCTCCCCAGGCAACCACCATTCAGGGAAACAGGCGGCCCAAGGGATACCTCCCTCCTGTCACACCAGGCAACATGGCTCCATCACTCTGTCCCCAGTGTCCATGTTGCAAAGGGAGAGAAGGTCCCCTCATGTCACTTCCACCAAGCTAAGGATCAGATGCACGACCTTTTTTAAAAAATATTTTCTTTTTTATTGATCTTAGAGAAGAAGGGAGAGGGAGAAAGAGAGAGAAATATCCATGATGAGAGGGAACCATGGATCGGCTGCCTCCTGCGCACCCCCTAGTGGGGATGGAGGCCGCAACCCGGGCATGTGCCCCGACCGTGAATTGAACCGTGACCTCCTGGCTCATAGGTCGATGCTCAACCACTGAGCCACGCCGGCCGAGCAGGCCACCACTCTTTGTGCTCTGAGGCCTTTGTAGGGTGAAAAATGCTGCTCGGAAGGAGGCGTGTGCACCTCACCCTGGCCCCCTGGCCGACCGGGTTTGGGTCCTGGGGTGGACGGCTGACCCGGGCCCGGACCGTGCAATGGGGATGCCACTCTGCTTGGGGACATCACTCAGCCACGACCCGCTGGGCCCAGGCGTGGCTCCATGGTGGACGCCGGTCCCTGCCCTTCCTTCAGTGCCCTCGGTCTCCCCGTAGGTCGGCTTTCCTCCGGGAGTGGTGAACATCGTGCCCGGATTCGGACCCATGGGGGACTGGGCACCTGTGCCCTCTTCCTGGGAGGGGCCGGCCCGTGACTTGTGTACCTTCTGGACCGGACCGCGTTTCAGTACGCGGACAGCCAGTCTTCCAAAGTCACCGGGCCAGTTTCCAAGCGAAATAAATCCTGAACGGAACCCAGGAGCCCTGGCAGAAAGGGTGGCTAGATAAGATAAAATAAAAATGTGAAACATCGTAGGACAAACAGTGTCGTAGTTAAGGTTAAAAGGTAAATTACCGCCCGGCCGGTGTGGCTCAGTGGCTGAGCGTCGACCCATCAACCAAGAGGTCACCGGTTCGATTCCCAGTCAGGGCACTTGCCCGGGTTTCCGGCTCAGTCCCCAGTAGGCATTCGATCAATGATTCTCTCTCGGCAATAAAACAAAATTGTTTAATTAAAATAAAATAAAATGGACTCACACCTCGTTTGGGGGAGCAGCCTCAGCCCTGGGGGAGCCCAGCCCTGCCTCATTTGGTTGTTGTTGTTCATCCTCACCCAAGGAAATTTCTCCATCGCTTTCCAGAGAGAGTGGCAGGGAGGGGGAGACAGAGAGAGAGGGGGGAACATCGATGTGAGAGAGACACCTCAATTGGTTGCCTCCCTCCCGGGCCCTGACCGGGGCCGGGGATGGAGCCTGCAACCGAGGTACGTGCCCTGGACGGGAATCGAACCCGGACCTCCCGGTTCATAGGTCGACACTCAATCACTGAGCCACGCCAGCCAGGCTACACACAAGGTCTTTGGTTGATCAACTCCCACCCACCCGCCACCCTCCCTGCCTTCCCTCGGAGATTCCGCATCCATAGAACTGACCCTCAGCCTGAAGAGCAGCCCCCCCCAAATTCCCTAAATACCAGGGGCTCCCTCAGCTTCTACCAGAGAGTCTAATAGTAGGGTCTCCCTCACTAGCG